ATATATTTCACAGATAATGTGGAATTGTCCAGAATTTGTAATATGTATGATATTACAATTTGTAACAATGTGATGGATGTGTGAATAAACGATAGGATGAGTTGAAACTTAAATTGTGAATTTCATTCAAAAGGAGAACTGCGAATTGTTTGAATTTTGTATGCTTGAAACTCGTGAATAAATTGTGCAAGTGTTGCTCGTGTGTCGTCAACAGCTTTGTCTAAGTGTTTGCAGTACATCCACAAGCACGTAAATACTTTTATGATAGGAAAATAGGAAAACCGACATGCAGAAACGGAAAAAGTTGAATTATGATACCATTCTGTTTGTAAGTATTGCCAAAAATTATGGGTATAAGAATTAGATTATACTGTGATGTGTAGAATGTAGGAGTGGGAATGGTTTATTTGAAATAAAGAAGCAAAATAACTATTAGAGGTAATAAATTAATTAAACTATTTTCTTATATTTTCTTTAAACAAATTATGGACTGAAGCTGCTGATTTTTTCATAAAATCGAATAAATCATTTATAAATAGCTGCGTATTTTACTGAAACTATTGAAATAAAATATGAAAAAATCGTCAAAAATCGACATAATAAAGAATTTATAAGAATTAATTTTTAATCTAGTTGTCCATCAACTGTTTGTATTTTTTTAAGTATACAGACTTGATGACTTTAAATTGGAGTGTATAGTCGACTTACTTTGAAACTAACTAATGTTAATACTACTTAGTGTTGTAATTTGATAGACCACATCAATAATACTTTTATCAAACCATTGTTCTTCAATGTAATACGAAAAATGTATTTAATTTTCGAGTCATGTAATACTAGAAGGCAATCTATTCAATTAACTGTTAATTTCATATAAAAATTCTTAGGATGTAATGAAAATTACTATACTCTGTTTCATATTTGAAAAATATTTTCACTTTAAATAGAATGTAAAATTCAAGTAGAATGTTAATATATTATACATATTTATATATGCTCGAGAGCAACGGGCTTGAAGATCTCCATTTCAGTTTGACAATTTGATATTTCACAGAGAATGTCAGTTACAGGAATGCCTTTAGCAGTGAAATTCGATCATAGCAAGTTGCTTAAATTGCACAGAATGGTCACTACTAGAATGAAATGGACTACTGCACAAACTACGGCTATATAACCTCTTTGTACAGCTGCCTGTAACTCACAATATATATGTCAAGGAACAAACGAGTACAGTGGGTCATTCATGAATTCTAACATCCCAGAAGTTAATTTCCATTCAACCCTCATACTAGAACTAATTACTGCAGGTTTTAGAAGTCAGAATTAGAGAGGCTATGCATTGGCATGTATATATGTGTAAAACGTCAAATGACTGTTCTTCAGAATTTGTAAAAAAGTGAATTATTATAACCATTTAATTCTGGTTTTATGACAAAGATGTAACTTTATGGTTTACAACATCCCAGTTTTTAATAAACATTTAAAGAATATTCAATCAGTACAAAATATAAATTAATAATTTTGTCTACTTAATAATTTGCGACGGAAGCACGACCATTTTCACAGATTTGGTAACTCTATCGTTAATACTCCAAATAACTTTCTCGTCCCCCCGAAAAATCTGCCTAGAAGTTTATTTATCGTGACAACCAACAGATCCAATTTCCAAGGGATTACAGTCAACGAACGGGTAGTCATGCGTTGACAAGGCCAAAGAAGACGAACCTGCAACGTGCCAAGTATCAGGATAATTCCAAATAGAGTGCCGTTGACGGCAGTAAAATTCTCAGTATCGCAGTTTTGCCGAGACGCTTCATCTCGTCATTCCGAACACTTTTAAAACCTGTCGGTCACCGAATAAATTCTATTCAAACACGCTGTCAGCAACAAGGATCAATTCTCCGCTATCCAATATGAAACTTTCCACACCGGCCAGTTTAATAGGCGAACAAATTCGAGGTGTAAATACAGTAACCGCAAAACAAACTGAGAAGGGATTTATAGAAGATATGTCTGCCTTGGAACTTTCATACGATAAGTTGATATTCTGAGCGATTTTACTAGGTTCCATTGATTTTTTTATTATGTGCTGGTTGACCTGTCACGAATAATCTGATACATGATCTACACGTAAAACATTTATTTACGGTACTATTTAAAATCACTTGGTACTTACATTGTTTCTCAGTTTTTTATTAGTATTTTACAACCTTGTTTGATTAACCTTGTCCGGTACGATATAATCATGAAAAATGAAGATATGATAGAAGCATTTTATTTTTATTAAAGAAAACAATGTGTTCCATTTTATGATTCACATTGAATTAATTGAAAGTAATCTGGAAAATACTACTAATTATTATGCCAATTTATTTATAATTAGGAGCTGTACTCGTCATTTTACCACAAGGAGTTAATTAAATATATCCATAGAGACAATAGGAATGAATAGAACGGACATACAAGGTAAGTTATCGAGCCCGGAAATTCAAAAAGTTATAATACTTTGTGTATAAGTAGAGTAGGTCAAACCTAATATATTGCAATTTTTTCTGTGCCGAATTTCACTTTGCCGAAATGAAACCATCCTTTGAGAAAAATGCAAATTTTTCTTTCCCGTGGATTATCTTACGACCAGTAAGAAATAATGATAAAAAGCTTAAACAAAAAATTGAAAATAAAATTTTATAGTTGTAAAAGAACAATGTATTTTTTGTTTCAACTTTTCTCGCTATCTCCTACTGTTTTCAAGATAATCCAGGGGAAAGAAAAATTTTCATTTTTTCAAGGGATGGTGTCACACCTTTAAAGTGAAATTCGGGACGAAAAAAGTTGCAATGTATTATGCGTGACCTACTCCACTTATACAAAAAGTATCATAATTTTTTTAATTTCCAGGCTCCATAACTTCCTTTGTCAGATGAAGAAAAAACAAACGTTTAGAAAAACTGTAAGTTTTTTAACCTGCAACATTCAGTATATATTAGCACACGACAAGAAAATTGTTTGTTAATTGAATCTTCAATTAATACACAGCAATTAAATAATTTTAATGAATATACTACTTCTAGACAAAGCAAATTTTATAAAGTTTATCAAGGCAAATTAAAAAAGTTTACATTACTTGTCTTACGTAAATCCACACTGATTCAGAGCAGTAGAAAAATGAAGATAGAATGTAAATGTATGTGTGAAATTATTGTTAATTAATTAGCTCTAACCAAAGAAAAATATAGAATATTTTTAAACCAAATTCTTTCAATGTTGTCACAGGTACTTATCTGCCGTCTAATATAATGAGTTCTCAACTATACTGAAATCAGAGAAGAGTAGAGAAACCATACAGGCAATTAAGTATATTTTTTTTAATTAAAATTTAAAACTATGAAAATATGAAAGCAGGATTTAGTAATGTCTTTTAATAATGATAACAAGCCGTGTTACGTAACTATTTTATCACAAATTAAATTTTTATATTCTATTAATTTGAATAGAATGGAAAGTCAAATGGAAAATAATCCAACTCAAACGTTTGAAACATTGTTTGAAGCGTTTCAAACTTCATTTTTAAATTTTGACTAATATACTCTAATTTGCTACATACTTCTGAACTCGTAATAATTATGTAGTTTGCAAATAATATAAACGGACTTTAAAGTAAAATCAGGAATTAAAAACAGGGAATAAACCATGAACATGTTTCTCTTATTCAATGTTTTTTTGAATTATAAAAACGTTACACGAGATGCAAAGTACTGTATCGCTGAAAAAGGAAAAGTAGGGAGAAACTTCTTGCTGGCAGCGAACGTTTTGTTTTTCAGTAATAAGGATCCTTCTCAAACATTTTCCATAATAAGGACTATTATTGACCGTTGCACACTGTTCGGATTAACTTACCTTAAAATATGTATTTGATACAAGATTCGTTGTTTACTTCACAGAAATTTATAATTCAATTTTATGTAATAATTGGAAAACAAAAAATTATGTCGCATGTTCAAAGAAATATAGTAAACAGTACGCGAATATATATGCCACAAATATTTATAGACCGATGTTGGTAGCATCTAAATCTAAACGTTTTAAACAATCAAATTTATAATTGTTGATACAAGTAATATTTTTATAAAACATTCCAAATAAAAATTACTTTTTCTAAATGAAAGTACTGTTTCTTAGTAATTAAATGAAATAACAAAAATTGAATTAAAAATACTGGCAAATGTTACTGACGAATTAACACGTTATCCTACCTGCGGGAGTCATGTACGCGTGATTCCTACGGATAACCATAATTAGCGGGCGTGATACATTAAATAAACATCAAACCTTTATTTAATAAAACTTAATAAAACTATTTAATCGTTATAAAAACGTACAATTATTACTTATCGATAGTTTCATTTTGACCATATAGTTTAATGTACTGCAAGAAGCGTTCGTGATTAACGTAAGGTCGCGCAGATAATGCCTGCAGGTACAGTGTTAATGGATTCCTAGATATTCGCTTACAACACACATATATTTAGTATAATATATTAGATATAATACTTCGTATATATTAACATATACGCGTCCAGTGAAAGTCATCGCTGTGGACTATGGGCGTATATATAGATGTGTATTTCTCGACTTTGTAGTTTCACACGTGCCGCGGTGACGATTAATTGTAAGTGTATGAGTGTAATATACGCGTTTCGTAGCGTTACCCAACTTGGTGAAACCGGGAAATCACATTTACAATTTAATCACAGTTTAATTGATTGTATGATTTAACAGAATTTATCGAACTTCAAATCAGCAAACAAATATTCGGTCTACACGAAACGTTTCGGCTGGGAGTATTCAGCACTCAAAGGATTAATCAAAATTTGCAAGAAAAGCTTAATTATTTATAACGACACGCGCTCGATACGCGATTCAATGCAAAATTATTTCGTGGGGGAACAAATTTCCTAAGTATTCCCTAACAGAAAGTATTTTTCGATTTAATGTTTCAGTCACTGGGACGGCCGCGGAAGCCACACGCGAGACGGAGCAGTCACTTTCGGCTACGTACGACGCACGAAGGACCAGTCGATCCTTTGCTTGGTCGTCCTCCAGCACAGACCGCACCACGACGCCGAGCAAATCCGTCGGAAAGTTTCGTCAGATGAATTCCTGGCACGCGGATAACTCGAACTCGAGGGAACGGGTTACGCTCGGGATGCTAGGGATGGTCAACGAGGGTCCGATGGCGGCGGGGACGGGAACCGAAACGCAGAGGAATGTTGAGACGTCGGGAACGAACAGTGACAAGGGAAAAGTGAAAATCTCGCATGAAAATTCGAGCCCGTCCTCGAGGGCCACGCCTGACGCCAGACAGAAAATAAATCAATCCGCTGGTCGGACATTTATTCAATCACCGAAAGGAGTATCGAGCTACAAGAAGGTGACCGTCTCGAGAACTTTTGATAACGTAAGTCACATGTCGTGTCGCATTGTACAGTTCTTTTCAGCTGAAGTTTTTTGATTTCACTTGAAGCTTTTCATTTAATTGGCATTATTTTCATAATTGATCATGGTGATGTTTTTTAATTAATTTTTATTTGAATTCTAGTTTTATAAAAGATTATGAGAATGTTTATTATTATTTTTATTAAAACAGTTCCATTGCTATTTTCTTTGTTGTTCATAGGTACTAAATATATTTAATTGGTATGAATTTATAAGACTATTAAATATAAAAGTGTCTAATATAATAATTAATTTTTAAAAACCGATTGAAAGATATATAACATATATTTAGAATTGCTACTTTAAATCAAAATAAAATACTGTTGGAAGATTATTTTATATACTTGTCACATACACTGTAATCTATATTTTCTTTTGTGCTTAACAAGTAGTTCGAAATTTCCATCTGGTAAAAATTGTTTCTTTTGTCGTATGCAATGAAAACAGTACTTTTTACCATGGCTATTTATTTATCATTAGCACTGCGAGTGGTATTTTTTGTGAGTAATTGTATTCAAGCTGAAAGCGTTGTTTCCCCTTTACGATCGACAAATTTTCCGTGCTTGAAGCTTACTATTATTTTTTGTAGTCGATCAACTTCAGGAGAGGGAATGTTGTTTACTCTTTTAGATTACCGTGCAGTTTTATCGGGAGTTGACAGACAGTAGGAGATTCATCGATCTCAACGCAGAAACATAATTACAGTTGTAATGGATTTCTGGCGTCCCCAACAATTTCGTATGGAGGCGATAACTATAATTTAATGGTATCACGGTACCAGTTGCCTCAAGCGTCGTTGGACTCTCATTTAATTAACGACCTGACACCTGTGTATCGGAGGATTATTGCTCATCGATCGTATAAATTTTCAATTGCATCAGACTCGAGTTAATACCGAGGCAATCCTTTACGGCCCGTGTTATTTTCATCCCGTCATTCCAGCCCGCTTGTACTGATTTAGCCAATTCTGGCCAGCATCGTGTACTTATTCTCTGTTTCAACATTTCAGCAGCTAACAAGTACAACACGTATTTTTAGTTACGAGTTTACGTCAAGTATACTATGAAGACAGAAACAAATAACTTGTTATTGCTCATGATTTACAATTTATAATGTATTATTATATTTCTTCCTTTGTCTACCCAGTTATTTAAGACTAAAGTATGGACAGTGCGGAAACTACTATCAATTGATGCACGTAGGAAATACACATTCTCGTGATAAATAAAATTAATTAGCAAACTAATCAGCAGAAATACTCTCGCAATATGATATTTCAAAGGAAATATGACAGATGTTCAATCAATCAACGTTCAGTTAATTTAAATATTAAATTATGCTCGTACAATATAAACGGACATTAACTTCGTTGCTCAGTAGAAAGCATTCACTTCGATATAATTATCCTGTGATAAATTTGACTATTTACACATTTCTCTTACAAACTGTACACTAAATTATAATATTACAAGAAATATTCTTAGAATCATCGCTGTGATCGCTGAGAAATAAGCAGAGCTAAAAGCTGGCTTCACACGGGACCGTCTGGAATGAAACGCGACGTACAGTCAGACTGGGCACAGTATCGCAAAGGATTAACCCTTTCGCTACGAGCGTCTTATCCGCCGCGACACTTCCGATGAACGAGACGACGCACAGTGGTTGATTCTCGGACAAAATAGGTCAAAAATAGAAAAAAATTGTTTTACAAATTGGAAATTTTTACGCAATTTGATTTATTATAGTCTAATATATATATAATTGACACTTTTTTTATTTAATCTCACTTATATCTAAAAAATAGAAATATTTACAAATTACTCAAATCTGATGTCATTTTTCTCATCCGTCAGAGTAAACATGTAACAGAGTATTTAAAAAATTGAAAATATGGCTTAAAAGTGTTACAGTAGTGGAGAAATGATTTAAATAATCCGTTCAATTTATGATACGAGCCATAATTTGGGTATTGTTAAATCACTTTTTTGTAATTTATTGGAATCAGTTCTTTCTTTTTGGATATATTTCAGTACTGATTACTATAATTGCCAAATCTAAATGTAGCTGCGGCTACTTGCGGCTTAGACAGTTATGTGGTTTGAAGGTCATAATTAAGAAAGTATTCTCATTTGGAACGCCAGTTTCAAGCCTAATTTGGGAATATTTGTTGAAAAATCTGAAGGCTAATTTTCGTTGATTTCTTGCAGATATAATTACTAATATTTGAACCATATTATGAATTCTTTTAAAGTCAAAATAGGTAAAAGTTTAAGAGTTACAAATTGTTAACGAGAATCATCTTCAAAGATTATGTCTCGACGGTTTATATGATTCCGATCATTGCACAGTGCGGCCAAATGGTCATTTTCTGAACAAAACTCAATAACTTAAAAAGTATAAGTGATACGAAAAACGGCTTCAGACAAAAGTTGTAAGATATAGAGCTAATCATATGGTGCTTATATTTTTTTATATTATGTGGATATTATGAAGTTTTTTAAATGACAATAGATATTCTACGTTCCGATTCCAACGTTATATAAATAGAGGAACGAAATTTATTTGCCCAAGATTTGTATTTTTCAAAAGAAAATCATTTTGTATAGTAGGGACTACTTAACAACACGTTGGAAACCTTTAATTTTCGTTATTTGAACAGTTGAATTTCGGAGTTTTGTCCACAGGCGGCCGCAATGTACGTCGTAGCGAAAGGATTAATCCGCGTGGTATTAGATAGGAGAGTGCTTTTCTGCGACGGGATGCTTGGAAATCGTGGAATACCGGATCCTCACGTGGCTTTTAACTATGTGCAGACAGTGCCGCCGCAGGAAAATCGGTTGGTACACTGGCCTGTCTCGTCGAGGGTACAAAATGGCTTCACGACGCTGTCGACGCCGTTCCGAGGTACCGGTGTGGTGCGTCGTCAAATGCGACACGTTCCAGACGCGTGTGAGAAGTTCAACATCGGTGACGAGACCAAGCAGGAATTTTACAGTCCGAACTATCCGGACAACTATCCGAACCTCACCGAGTGCATCCGGGTACTGGAAGGTGAGCGAACTTTGTTTCTTTATATGGGGAACGTTTATGGATGTCGGGCTTGGAAAGTTCTGAAAAATCCCTATCACTAGTCCACGGAAACATCCCTGTGTCAGACGGTAAAGAATTCGGTAACCGGAGGTACGCATTCAACGGAAGTCAATTTGGTTCTTCTTGCTTCGAACGTACAAACTTGCTCGGAAAAAAATTTCACTCATTTAACCCTCAAACTACTGACGGAATAATGCGCCCCGAGTGTAATAAAAAATTTCAATTGGGCCAAAAAGCCGCTTGAATTGCACTGTTGTGTATCATGATGATAGTTCAAGGTCCATTTCATGAAGTTAGTTACTTGATTTAGAGGAGAAGATTATTATTTAAGTGTTTTGTTACAATTTACGCTTGATGATTCGTTTTAACGTAATTTTGCTATAAAGTGAAACAGAAAAAGATTTGGTGATACAATAATTAGCGGAAAATCAATTATTACAGAGCAAGCTTCAAATTTTAGAAATTTAGGTATTGTTACGTACATTTTCATGAAAAATTAAGTGGAAAATGTAAAACTGCATTTGTTCATGTGACGCTTTATTTTCAAAGTAACCGCGTTTACTTATTATGGAATATTAAATTTTAGAAATTGATTATTTCAGAAAACTAGTCTCCTATAAAAAAATTTTATTGTATGTTTTTGATTCATTTTTATGTGGAGATTCTCTCTTCCTGGTTGTACCACGATTTCGGAAACACTCTATATAAATATATAGAATAAACTATTCAAACAATTTTATAATATGTCACATATATAATACAAAACAATTTATGCGTCACATATGTGTGATGAAATGAACAAGTCAAATAATAGTACCAACAAATATGTTCTTATTTCATGTGAATTATAATGGATCTTAATGTGAACAGAATTCTGCATGTGGAGCTGTTGTTACAGTTTATAACATTTTATTTCGATATTTTAATTTAATTTTGCGTATACGTTTTTCAATGCATTTATTTTATTATCTATTATCTGCAGGATCGTAATTATCATATAAAAGGAGATTTATATTCACGTTCGTTACTTCCATTTCATAATAAAATTATTCTTATGAATATTCTATTGGGTATAACATATATCTTTTGAAGTGGACATTGAAACTGTGGTTAAATACTTGTCATAACTGCACATACTTTTCATATATATATATATTGCATGTATTCTTTTATTAGCAACTACATGAAATACCGATGATAAGAAAGCATTAAACCTTTGCGGCACGTAATTTATAAAAATGGCGAGATAATAATCCAAGTATTTGAAGAACATCATGTTTATTCTGTGCACTTTAAAAAAATGCATATTTATATGACAGTGTTTTATGCATATAGAAATTGCATAATACTACAAATTTATATCACTTTCTACCGTCTGTAAATTATTGAAGCTTTTCACATTTGGACTATTTCTTAATAAATTAAAAATGAAAATTAGTAGGTAGTGTTAGATCTAGAAAAATAATAGATGATCGAATACATGTTTGTCTGTTAAGGCACTTAATCCGAAATTTGAGAAAGTTAATGTAATTTCAGTTCGATCGATGAAGATCGGAAAAAAAATTTGAAAATTTCAAATAAATCAAACAATTAATTTTCCGGGTATCACGTCAGTATAAGTGGCATTAACCAAAACATCAGTCGTATTTCCTTAGTAGTATCAATTTCTACTTTTTCTGTAGATCCATCATGACTTTCTTGCCACTTTTCAAAATCACCTACATAATTCATTTTCTTTTTCCTCGCTTTACAAATTTTACGATAATAGGATCCTATAATCTCCATTTCTACCAAGATCAATCACCAGACACATTTCATTTAATTTCAGCCTTCTTTTTTTCTAAGAATATTTTTTTCTCCGCCCACAGCAAATTTACGAAGCAATTTATAAACAAATTATAAAAATTCACTGAGTGAAAATTTCACGCGGACGAATAATTGATTCTTTCCAACGACTGTCAAGCACTGCAATTTATACGATTTGTACCTTTGCCAATTCGAGAATCCCTGTTGAACTCTATTTTTAAAACATTACACTGTAAGAAAACGAACAAGAAAAATCTCGTAACTCTTCAGAAACGATTTTGGTACAGGCTACTGAATCTGAGATCATTCTCAGTACTTACATTTTTGTTTTATTATTCAATTATCATTTTTCTTCTGGTTTTTAGAATTAAAGTATATTGAAAAATCTAAATTATCAATAAGTTTTGCTAACATCTCCATGAAAGATAGATGAATTTGAAAAGATTGAAAGAAATCAGGCATTGTGTGGGGGTTATCTTTTTTATTGTTACTCGTGGGATGTGAGAAGTTGGGAGTTATAAATTATATTATCGATTATATTAAATTGTTGGATCGCAAATGTTTAATAATGTATTTTTCGTTTTATCATTTCATTTTACGAACTTGATCTAAAAGGACGTTAAGATGATGTCTTACACATTATATTAATTTATTGTTACGAAAATATATTGTGTTTATAAGAATTCTGTTGCATTAAGCGTTGTCCTTGAAGAGTTACTTCACAGTTTTTTCCAAACGTTAATTTACTTTCGTTACAACTTCTGAAAATTCGTAACGGCTACATATATAATAGTAAATAATAGCAAAATTGTATAACAATCTGTAATGGTTTAATACTATAACACAGTTTCCGCGTGGTATAGTACCGACGTTTCAAATTTTTCCATTCAGAAGGAAAATTGTTACACCAGGAATTTCATACGTATTCTTACAGTATCATACAGACGAAAATGGAACAACAGGAAGTTTTATAGGCACGACAAAAAAATCATAATATTCTGATACCCTTTAGGTTAATATAAATCACCATCGGCATTCGCATTTAACTCGCCCAGCTCGCTAGATTATCTAAACGCACGTAATTGAGGACGGAACTCTAGAACGTCCGCGAGATATACGGAATGTAAATTCATCGCGGAAACGAATTTTCGCTTATCTCTTTAACCGTGGAATTAACTCGACGCCGTCGCACCCTCGCCGCGTCTGTCGCGTCGTAGTTGGTGCTTGATATTCGAGCCGTTTCATATGTATAAGTTCCTCGCAAACTTCCCTGCCGGAACCTGGGAGTGAACTTCGAAAACGGGATAGAACGACCGCGGTGGTGATTGATACACCCCGGTGGTTCCGTGCGGTCTCCAGCCGAGGATCGATCTGTAAATCCTCTCGGTTGCCAGCACAATACCGCCGAAAGAAACGTACGAGTTTTTACCAGGCTGACTAAACAGCCGCCGTCGAATAGGGCTCGTAATAAACGAGCTACAGCCGAACGAGAATTAATAACGACAGCGCCCGTGTATCTTCCCGAACTGATCGCTCGTAAAAGAAAACACATTACGAGCCGCGGCGAGCAAACAAACTAACCCCGATGTTGAATTCCGAATATAAAACTACCTAACCGTCGCTGCTCGAAATTCCGATGCGAGAGTAATTCCATGAGACTGCTGTAAGAAATGACACAGAGTGCTAGACGACACCACGGAAGTTGTATTAACACTAACACTACCAGGCGGGTCAAAATGACCCACTCCTGATTTCTTCTTTGTGCAATTATTAAAAAGGTAACAGATGTTTCTGTGAGAAATTATTAGAGAAATTGATCTGGCAATACGCAAACTGAATTGTAAATTAACTAAAGCCTCAATAGATGCACTTCTGGAGTTTCTATAGAGAAATTTCAAATATTCACTTTAATTGCTTCGACGCAGCAGTGACGCTGTGCGATCTTGAAAGAACAAAGACGTAAAATTTTCTTCTCCTTTTTTTGTAAGACGAAAGAACTTTGTTTTTCTATTACTCCAAGACAATTACTCATGTGCATAGGCTTTAAGAGTGTTTGTCAAACTGTCACAAGACTGGTGCAAGACTACTTCAAGACTTATCCAAGATTTGCGTATCGATCCCTTACCTCGCAAGATCATTAGTTTTCCTTGGAAATGTCGACAGGAAAAGCGTCCTTATCCTCATCTGTTTATCTCTCCTTTCAACTTCAACATCTGCAATCCCTTGACGAGCATCGATAGCGTTGACGACAGATACTGCATCTGGATAGTGTTATGGTTCACACAGATTGACAGCCCGCATTTTTACTGATCTTCAAGATGTTGTTCATTGCCTGGTTCTCATTCGGTATATCGATTCTGAGATATCAAGTATAAATCAAAATTTAAACTCAAAACATTTTTGTAAAATAATTTTCTTTTATTTGATATCAACAGAATAAACAACTGGTTGCTAATACCAATCATTAAACTGATTGAAATCGGACCTCAATTCATTACTAACGAGGAAACCGTACGAACTTTTTCCAGTACCCAATATATCGATTTATATAGATGTAGAACCGATATAATATTGGTTCTGAAGAACCGGAACCGAAACCTATGTAGCTCAGAACCGATATACCAAATAACAATTATGACTTTATTTCAGTTCTTCATAACTGTTTCAAGAATCGAAACCAATATCATAACTGTTTTCAATCCCTGATGTCTATTCAGATTTCAGACGTTTCTTATACTGCGGACATCGATCAATCATTACGCCCCGGTCTCTTCGACTTTCATGGTAATTGCACTGACGACGTGTTTCCATAATGAACTGACAAGGATCGATTCATATAGGTGGAATACGCAGTGACCGAGAGAATTCTGTCCGAAGATACGTCATTTTTCAAAATTCCATCTGAATGTTGCTGTGGTATGCGTGCGCTCGAGCAGTTTCGGATGCTCGCTAGGTATCAAGTGAAAGGAACGCTCCTTGGATCCACCCACGCTGTCAGGAGGTGGTCTCATGGGACACCTCACGCGTCTAAAATTGAACTTCGGTGCTCGTGAACTCAGTCAGTGCCGATATCGCTTTCCTCGGACATGAAACTCGTGCTATAGAATTTCACTCTGCGTGAAAACGAACTGTCATTCGTTCTTCTTTTTACCTTT